TTAAGCAATTGGTGCTGCAGGATATGTAATTACAGTGGATGCCAAATGATGAAGATAAATGTAATAAATTAAGAAGGTTGTTAGTAAAGGCACCCATCTTACTATATAAAGTGAAAAACTGTAAATTCTGGTGCATCTGATTTAGATGCAGTATGGCTACCAGGATGTACAAGAATTGTCTTTATTTCCAGAAAACAACTTTCAATAGAACTTTAATCATAAATCTTTGCAAGCTATTTTTAAGGAACTGTTATACTGTTCACGTGTAGGAATCCAAAGATGGTTATTGATGTAGCCATCACAAGAAAGGTTTTAAATCTGGAAATAGCCGGTAATTGCATATCTAGAGGGCTTTTACAAAATAAAGATACTACAATGTGCAGGATGCCTTCTTTATGATAGAAAAATGCAAGAATTTAAAAATACTACATTAAATGACAGAACATTACAATTATTCAGGAAAACGAAATGAAAATGAAAATGAACATATCCCAAAAAGGAAAGACATTCCAGAGGATGTAAAAAATACTAGAATTAAAAAAGTTAAGCATTTACTTTTCAAGAATGATACAGTGATCCTACTTGAATGGCTAGCAGTGAGAATTTCAAATTAATACATCAAAGGCCTTTGTGTAGGAGAGAGACTAAAAAAAGGTTTTCTTTTGGCTAGGTGTGAATATTCCAAAGATAATGTACAAGGCAGATCAGGTTTTCAGAAATATAAAGTATGAACTGAAATGCATGGATTAGTCTATGAGAGCTTAGCAGAAGTTGGGAATGACTATATTTGAATTTTAGAAACATTTTGTGCTAATTGTTTTTCTAAATTTCATGAAATTTAGAATTTTTGTTTAGTCAAATAATAATTTTGCATTGTCTCTTCATAAAGTGTGGAATCTCTGAAGAGACTGTTTTACTTTGCTTTATTTGTCTTGATGTTTTTGGATCTTGCTCTTCTGTTGTGTTTCTTTTAATAAGTTGGTTTTTAATTGTCAGCCACTCAGAGGTGTTTGGAAGTGGGGCAGCTTATAAATTAAATAAACGTTATATTGTACAATTTCATTGTATAATTTTGTACATTATACATTTTGTATAAATTTTACATTGTGTCGACACAATGTAAAAAGTTGAGAATCTAGAAAGAATGTAGAGAAGAGCAACAAAAAGTGATTAGGGGCTAAAACATATAAAGAATGGTTACAGGAATTGGGTGTGTCTGGTTTAATGAAGAGAAGGACAAGGGGGGACATGATAGCAGTCTTCCAATATTTGAGGGGCTCCCACAAAGAAGGCGGGGGTCAAGCTATTCTCCAAAGCACCTGAAGGCAGGACAAGAAGCAACAGATGGAAACTCATCAAGGAGAGAAGCAATCCAGAATTAAGGAAAAATTTCCTGACAGCGAGAACAATTAACCAGTGGAACAACCTGCCTCCAGAGGTTGTGGGTGCTCCATCACTGGAAGTTTATAAGAAGAAATTGGACAGCCATTTGTCTGGAATGACATAGGGTTTCCTGCCTGAGCAGAGGGTTGGACAACAAGGTCTCTTTCAACTCTGTTATTCTATTATTCTATAAATAAAATAGAAGACAAAATAAAATAATAAATAAATAAATAAACAACAGATAATGGGCCACAATTTTGCTCATTGGAATTTGCAAATAACTATAACTTCATGGACTCTGCTCTGAGGTCATATTACATCCAATCAAAAGAGATTAGAAAAAGAAGTGTATAAAGGATTCATCTAAATTTTACTGCCACTTGAGATGCTTTCGGGTCCGCTTCTGGCATCAAGAAATAAGGGCAGTGGCAGGTAAAGCTGTGGCAGCCCAAAAGGGACCCACTCAACCAGGGCAAAGTCAACTTGAAGGAAGGAAACAGAGCAGCAGCAGCAGCTTATTGGCAAGTCAATTCAGCATGAGTCTTCTACCTTTTTCATACCGACAACTCTCAGTCCTATTTCACCAATGGACAATACAAATCCCTCCCTCACCCCAGAAAGTATACATTCACCCCAGGAAAGCAAACACTCCCAAACTTCTAAAAGTTGTAAATGCAGCTTACAAACATTCCTTTGTCCTCAACACACTCACAGCAGATGCCGCCCCCCCCCCAATTTCCCGTTTCTGCCCAAACAGTTGCAAAATATGGGTTCTATTGTTTTAAACAAACCCTTATGCACCTATAAGATAGAAGGTGAGACAAAATAAAGGAAACTCATGCCATAGGAGAATGTAGCTCCATCTTTCAAAAGAATCCATGAAGAAAGAAAAACTCTCAGAATAACCTCACAGGTGAGGAACTGCACAATCTGTGAGCCAATGGAGCGGATGGCCAGGCATTTGCCGACACACTCTAGAGCTAACTTTTGCAAGACTACTGTAAGAACTAAACTAGCTGCAACAATGAATTAAAAGAGATGGAGACTATCTCCCCCCTACCCACCCCTGGGGGTGAAGTATTTCAAGCATAACAGAGGGGGAGGGAGGGAAGGAAGGTAGGAAAATCCCTGAAAACCATTCCCTCCTCCTTCAACAAATCCACATAGCCCATCACACAAACTCTGTGTGCGCATCATGTGCTGAAAAGAGGAATAACGATTTGCAGAAATTAAATCAAACATGGGGATGGAGTGAAAAATTGGTCATAATTAAGAGAATAACCAAACCCCAAAGATCGCCACACTCCTGTGTTGTTGTCATAGTTTGAGTGTCTTCCCCTATTCTTTCTCTGGTCTGCAGGCATCAATTTACATAGTACAACCAATAAACCAGGTTGAAGAATCCAAAAGTGATGGGGAAAATGATTCTTGACCATTTGTCAATGGTGCTGACATCTGCCAGGTCAGGAATTTTGAGCTTCAGCTTGGACGATCTTCGGCGGAGTCGGCAGTTGGCACGAGTATGGGCTGCAGCATGATGGGTCAGCGGGATGTGGCGTTCAACTGGTGGGTGGTGTCCAAAACCATCTCGAGGGGCCAGCTGCTTGCGGAACTGGATTCCTGATCCTTCAAAGGACATGAGAGAGTTTCGTGATTCTCCTGCTGTGGTCATCATGTCAGAAGCTAATAATTCATTGTTCATTTCCAAAGAGCTGAGAAGAATGTTGCCATAAGGGTCCACCTGAAAAAAAGGGCCAAAGATATTGCACAGTATTAACATGTTATCTGTACAATGGATGATACCTAAGCTCAGGTGTTGATGTCATAAATGATACATTTGTCTGAGCATCTTTTTCACAAATTTGTAGGGAAAGAATCAAGTGAAAAAATACAGGTAGTCCTCAGGTTACAATGACAATTGAGACAAAATTTTCCATTGCTAAGTGATGTCATCTGACTATGTCACTTAGCAATGGCAATTCCAGCAGTCCTGGTTGCTGTTGTAATCCAAGGACTCTGTGGGTCATTAAGAGAGGACCTTACGTGATTGTGACTTCTACCTTCCTACTGCCTTCCCCACTGACTTTGCTCATAGGAAGTCAGCAGGGAGCAGCACAAATCATGAATATGTGGCCGTGAGAAAGGTTTAATGGCTGGAACTCCAAGGACTGGCTGTGAGTACTGCTTATTCAGCACTGTCATCTCTGAACAGTCACTAAATGAATGGTCGCAATCTGAGAGCTACCTGTAAAGGTTATGCAGAAAGAGAAAGCAAATATTATGTATGAATAAGTATTAGAAAACAGATCACTCTTCCAATAGAGTAAATGAAAAATAGAGATAAGGAAAGAGGATGTGGGAGCTGCTTGGAAAATAGTGAGAAGAGTTATGTGACAGAGGCAAGGAAACAGTGGTGTTATACCAGGAGGAAATATGAAGAAGGACGCTTGGTGGAAGGACAAAGTGAAAGAGACTCTGGATTAGAAAACCTGCATTTAAGAAAAGGATTGCTACAAAAAGTGAGGGAGATATAATCTTCATATAGAGAAAAATAGAGTATCACAGAAGGTAATAAAGAAAACCCAAAGAGCACTTAGGAACAGAATGAAAAATAAAAATGATAAAAGCTTTGGGATGAAACTAAATTGAGGGAATGCTACAAAGGGTATTTAAGAAATGTGTATATGTACGTTTTATATCTATAAAGATAATGGTTACTTGAAGATTGGAATTAATATAAATTGTATGAAAGTTTGTCAAAGGAAAACAGATGAAGAGGATATAATAAACACTATGAAAATTTGAAAATGGTAATGATGCTGTTGTAGAAATTAACATTTCAACATTTGGATGTAGTTCCTTTATGACTAGATCTGCAAGTTGTTTAAATCCATCAGAATAGAGCTGGAACGGACCTTTGAGGTTTTCTAGTCCAGCTTGCTGGTCAAGCAGGAAGATCGTATACCATTTCAGAAAAGTGACTGTCCAGTCTCTTCTTACAAACCTCCAGTGGTGAAGCACACACAACTTCTGATCGCAAGCTATTCTACTGTTTGTCCTCACTCTTAGGAACTTTTTCCAGGTTGCTTCTCTTCTTGATTAGTTTCCATCCATTGTTTCTTGTCCTGCCCTCTGGTGCTTTGGAGAATAAGTTGACTCCCTTCTCTTTGTGACAACCTCTCAAATACTTGGATACTGTTATCATGTCCCTCCTAGTCCTTCTCTTCTCTAGACTAGCGAAACCCAGATCCTGCAATCATTCTTCATACGTTATAGTCTCCAGGCCTTTATTCATCCTAATTGCTCTTCTCTGCACTTTTCCCCAAAGTCGTAATGTGGTGACCAAAACTGAATGAGGTATTCCAGGTGTGACCTTACTAAGGCTTTATAAAGTGGTACTAATACTTCATGTGATTTTGATTCTATGCCTCTGTTTATACAGCCAAGGATTGTATTAGCTTTTCTGACTACTGCCACACACTGCTGGCTCATATTTAAGTGATCATCCAACAGGACTCCAAGGTCCCTCTCACAGTTACTGTTTTTGAGCAGGTTTTGCCTAATCTGTACTTGTACCATAGTTTTTTCCTGCCTAAGCGTGAAACCTTGCTTTTCTCCACATTAAATTTCACATTGTCGGATAGGGCCCATTGTTCAAGTCTGAACATCTTTTTGGATCCTCAGCTTGTCTTCTGAGATGTTGGCTATTCCTGTCATCTGCAAATTTTATGAGTTCCCCTTCTATTCCCTCATCTAAATCATTTATGAAGATATTGAAGAGTACTGGGCCTAAGACGGAACCTTGTGGTACCCCACTACTTACTTCCCTCCATGTAGATATAGTACCATTAAGGACAATTCGTGTGAGTACAGTTTCTCAGCCAGTTACAAATCCATCTGGTGGTGATGCTATCTATTCCAACTTTTTCTAGACACAGCATTTCGCTGGTCTACTAATTTAGTCACTTTGTCAAAGAATGAAATAAGATTGGTTCAGCATAATCTGCTTTTAACAAACCCATGCTGGCTTTTAGTTATAACTTCATTTGTTTCTAGATGTTCGCAGATCTGTTTTTTTATTAGCTTTTCCAGTAGCTTCCCAAGTATTGATGTTAGGCTGACTGATCTGTACTTTCCTGGGTCTGTTTTTTTTAGATGGGAACCACATCAGCTCTTTTCTAATCCTCTGGTAGTTCCCCGGTATTCCAGGATTTTTGAAAGATATGGTACAATGGGTCTGAGATGACATCCGCCAGCTTTTTCAAAACTCTAGGATGAAATCCATCAGTCCCAGTGGTTTACATTTGTTAAGATCAGATACAGTAGGTATTCTCTAACCATTTTCTTGCTTATTTTAATTTTTATTTCTAGTCTGTCTTTTACAGTTAGGTTTTTGATAGGATGGGCTATTATAGTTTCTTTTTGCGTGAAGACTGATGCAAAGAATGAGTTAAGGAGCTCTGGTTTCTCTCTATTGCCTGTTACTTCCTTGACATCTTCCCTCTTAAAAAGACCTACTTATTATTTATATGTGGAAAAATCTTTATTTATTATCTTTGACTCTTGTTGCAAGTCTTTGTTCATTCTGAGCCTTTGTTTTCTAGACTTCATCTTTGCAGATTCAGACTATCTGCTGATACTCTGCCTTAATTATGTGTCCCTTTTTCCATTTTTTGTACTTGTCCTTTTTGTCTTTCTTCACGTATATGAAGACTTGCATATGACCTAACAGTTGGAAGGCTGTCCTTGTGGTTCTCCAGTAAAAGGGCAGCGGATACAGAAACAGCTGGGGGATTGGCTTACGTAGGGTGCTGGAAGAATCTGTTGCAGAATTCTACATTCTAAATTGAAAGCTACAGCCAGGCACTTTCCATTATGCTCCTGTGTCATCAGTGCTATGCCAGCTGCATTGGTTACTAGTGGGCTTCCAGGTGTCCTTCAAGTTGGTTACTCTCCCTCCATTTCTTATGCAAATGAGGGAGCCTCTTCCACTTACTTTTTTGTCTGTTGTAGAGTTAAGATATGTTTTTTCCCTTGGCATTTTGGTAATGTAGCTCACATAACCTTCAAGATCTTCTTCCTTGCGCTCTACACTTAACACTCACAAGACACAACCTGTATTTTGCTCATAATTCTGCAATGAGGAAAGCTACCAACCTGCTCTCTCACCCGCTTCTCCTCATATCGGTGCTTCTCCTCATTAGTTGTCTTGTTGAGACGCTCGCTCTGTTTCTTCTGCTGCCGGGGGCCCCGGCCAAAGAAAATGTAGTTAACGAAGGCATATTCCAAGAGCGCCAGGAACACAAAAACAAAGCAGCCCATGAGATAGACGTCGATGGCTTTGACGTAGGGGATTTTGGGCAGAGTTTCCCGAAGGTGCGTGTTGATGGTCGTCATGGTGAGGACTGTGGTGACCCCTGTGAAGGGAGAGTTCAGACACACATTTAGTGCTTTCAAGCTGACTGTTGTCAGGAAAAGATTTTCAGTGGAGCAAGGGAGACTGCACAGCACCTTTTAAAAATGCTTTTGGGGAGGGATGATTGTGTGAAAAGCCTGCACTAATTCTGCAAAAGAAAGCTGATTCCTGGCTGGAGGGCCTCTCCTTAGGGGCCACACAGCCTGCCCGTTTTATGGTCTGATTCTGGATTATGTAATCACTGTAACAAAATCTCAGGTTGCTCTGATCTTCTTGACATCATTGTACAAGATCCGCAATACAGGCCTTGTGAGTTTGGGCATACTTTGATACAAGGGTGCTAGGAGTTGAATGGCATGTTATTATGGTTGGTGGGAAAATTAGCCAGATGTTTAGACTGGGTTTGGCATTTTTATGGCATGCCCCTGAAGATCTGGCTCTTTGCCTAAGCCTTTGATGAGGATGAATTGAAACCTCCTCTTAAATTAGGTTGTTTTCATTTGCTCCCACCTGGTTTGTCCTCCTGCTATCTTTATTCTTGCTTTTGTTGTTTTTTGTGTTTTTTTTTATGACTTAAAACATTTGTAAACTGCCCAGAATTGCTGGGAAATGGACAGAATACTAATCAAAATAAGAATAATAAAATACAAAAACCTGCAAATAGAAATGGCAAAAGAAAAAGAAAGACAGTATACAATAGTAATAGGTGCCTTGGGTGCAATCAAGTGAAGCACCACTTGAAACACCATCGCATTGACAAAATCACCATCAGTCAATTGCAAAAGGCAGCTTTGCTCAGAAGAGCTTCCATCCTGAGGCCTTTAGGACTATCAAACATCCACATCTGCCTATCTCAGCTCGATAGACAATAATGTCAAATCCAGTGCGAACACCTGGCTGATAGTGTGAAGAACCAAAACATGATTAATAATCTAAACTGTTGATAATCAGATCTTTTAAAAGTTCAGGTTTAATTTACAGGATTCATTCTTTTAAAAGCAAAATCAAAAATATTAATGCAACTGATATTTCACTTTTATTTTTTTAAAAAAACATTTATTTTATCCAGATTCTTTTAATTCTTGAACCAGTAATATTTTGACCAACTGTAGCCCTAGCCCTTATCCTTACCCGAATCAGATTTGCCCCAGGTTTTACTTATCACAAAACTGCGTGGCTGTGCAGATAACAAAATAACCTCGAAGAATCCCTAATTGGTATTTGACTTACAATGGAATCCAGCAGATATACTAGATAGAATTAACAAAGTCAATAAGATCACATTGTTTCCCATAATTAGTTGGGGGGAGGGAGAAATATTGTTTATCATTTTTTTTAAATTAATTGGATGCCTGACTCCTGCAGAAGCAGATGGTTTATTAATGATAGCTAAGGCCCTGACTTCGAAGTTGAACAACATTTTCTTATTTGGGTTAGTCTCTCAATTTACACAGCCAAGATAAATAGAAGTTGCAGAACTTCTGAGAAAAGAGCATTATTGATATACTTATATCCCAAGAAACAATTTTGTTTCTTGAAAAAGAAAACAGAAATTCCCCTTTTGTAAGCCTTCTCATCTACAGTTTATTACTACAAACCTTTAAAAAACTTTCCCAATTTTTTGAAACATTCTTAATAAACATTCTTCTGTTGTTGTAGCCAACTCAGTCTCAAGTCAATGTCAATCTGTAGACCTACCTAGGGCAACCCTGGCTGCAGAGGCATCATAATTGATCCAGAAAGAGACCCAGGAAAGAATTGTGATGAGAATGGAAGGCATGTATGTTTGCAGGATGAAGTAACCGATGTTTCGTTTGATTCGGAAGCTGAGCGACAAGCGAAGATAGGAACCTACCAGATAGACGAGGGGGAAAAAACAGTATGATGAGAAGGAGATCTTGGAATCATCTGAGTGGAAATTTCTAGTTTTTCACAGCACAAAACTCAACATAAAAGTAATTATTATACACTTTTCAATAGATGGTAAGTAAATCTGAATGACAAATAGCCACAATATAAAGTGACAGTTGTAACCCAACTGTCTGTTTCCTGTTCTGCTTGAAGGAGCAAAGATTATTCTTCCTATGTCCTTCTAGCCCTTTCTAGCAATGAGGGTCCCGGTTGTGTAAATAGTGGCAATCATCTATTTCACAGCCATGTAAATTATAAAATCCTGTGATGCTCAGCCAAAAGAGGGTGGGCTGCAACCTGATCCAAAGAGGTTTCATGGCTCCCCACATGGACGGGTCATCTGGGGAATCCCTCTTTAGAAAATAGGGCTAATGAGCATCAGAAGAGCAAATGACAGTTAAAACTCTTTTTATTTGCTCATTTCTAAATATCTCTCATCGTTTTTCATTACTCCCTATAACCACCATCTGTTTTGAGACAAAAGGAGTTGCATTTATATTTATTGTAACTTAACCCTTTTCAAGTATAGTCATTGCAATGAAACAATAAACCTTAGTTGTTTCATTTTTATTTTTGTCTATGTGCTTTGATTATTATTTACAGTATGGATTTTAATTGGTGGTATTGGTTGTGAATGACATTTATTGCAATATTACTGTACTGTAATTGGGCAACATAGGAACAGTAGTAATGAATAACAATGAAACTAACATGGCAAAAAGAGACACACTTTGGGGAGGAAGGGAGGGAGAGAAGGAGGCTCTGTGAAATATAAAAGTTATGAAAAAATGCTTCAAATAATTGTAGCATATTCTAACCTAAAGGGGCCTAAATGCTTATCTAGTCAAGGTCTGTGATGGAATGAAGCTGGGGTTACTGTTTGCATCTGGGAAAGGCAGCTGCAGCTGGACAGAAAGGCAGCTCATCCCACCGGTCCACGGACAGCTTCAGCTTCTCCAAAACAGCAGCAAAAGTTAACAGCAATAGCAATAGCACTTAGACTTATATACCGCATCATAGTGCTTTTACAACCCTCTCTAAGCAGTTTACAGAGTCTGCATATTGCCTCCAACAACCTGGGTCCTCATTTTACTGACCTCGGAAGGGTGGAAGGCTGAGTTAACCCTGAGCTGTTCAGAATCTAACTCCTGGAATGAGCAGTGAGTTAGCCTGCAGTGCTGCATTCTAACCACTGCACCATCGGAAACTTGAGAGGAGGTGGACTCATTCATTGATTCATCCCTCCTCCCACCTCAGTTTATTCATAGCATCCACACTTGGTGGGCTAATTGAGCCACATCTTGATGCTTTTTGGAACTTGCAGATATCCACAGGGAGTCTCACCCCCCCACACACACACCTGGGTTCTTAACCTATGAAAATGTGATCGTGTAGGAGAGGAAACAAAGAAGACAATGAGCAGATGAGGAAGTGGGACACCTGCAATGTACCATTATTACAGGCAAGCAAGAGAGCTATCTGTCAGGACCCCCAGCTATGACTCTGCCACCTGTTGTGGTGGGGTTCCTGCCTGGTGCTTGGCTTGGAGTTTGCCCAAAAGGAGCAACAGGACTCAGGCAGTAGGTAGTCCCAAGGACTTGTGGGAGGAGACAAAGGTCGTATGCCACCCTACAAATTGTATGACTTTGATTTCTTCTAATCATCAAATCCGGCTACACCAGCTTGCAAAGCCTAGCAGGGTAAAGTTAACCAAGAGGAACAGCAAAGGCATGTGTTATAATGAATTATTTTCTACAGAATTCATCTATTCTATATTTTGGTGTGTCCAGTTTTTGGAAAACAAAGAACCCTCACAGTGCTGCATATACTTCTGAAAAAAGTTACAAATCTTGATAGAAATATACTCCCAAATGATACTTCAATAAAATGCTATCTAAGACACTACGAGCAGATTGTAGAAAGAGGAAGAACTACTTGGAGAAGTCTGGAACATGCCATATTTGATGTACCCACAAATTGCTGGAACAATAAAAAGTGACCACAAAAGCAAACAAGGGCTTCTAAGAAAAATAACAAAATTTGAAATGCTTATGCAGAATAAAGCCTACCTATTAGGACACATATGTAAATTGTTACTCAGGTAGACCTGGAGACTGAACAAATAAAAGCATGAATGATAAATTGGATACAAAACTCACCAGTTCCTTTCCAGTATTCCCTTTCCATAGTTTCTTCTTTTCAGTGACTATTTTCCCTCCCCCAACATGTCTACCTGAGCTTTCTCCTCTTTTTTTCATTTTTCCATCTTTTTTCTCTTGATGCTTTCCTTAAGTCCCAGATCCCAAGATCGTCACATTGTGCCCTGTGTTGGTTAAATTACTCTTGAAGTCCCGTATTGTGTTGAGGGAGCACATTTTTAAATGATGTGGAGAAGCTGGAGAGGGCTCAAAGGAGACCTCCAGGCTAGAAGATTTTCACACAGCTTTGGGGGAGGAGAAAGTGAATAGTAGCTGTGGTTGACTGCTAAATATCTGCTTTCAGGGAATACAGCAGACAAAATCCAAGACAAGAATGTATATTATGAAGCAGGACCAACAGAAAGAGAAGTACATGCAATCAGAGATGGGGAGAAGAGTTAGGCACCTTAGGAGCTGCTCCCTTCCGCTCCAATGGAAAACATCTGGCCAAGACCAGTGGATAATGTGCCATCAAGTCATGTTCTGCTCCTACATATTACATAATGTTCTCTCTGCTGATCTGCCCCTCCCTTGGTCTTCAGGACTTCCAAGGGTGCACCCAATACCACTGTAACTGAGTTTGTTCCCCTTGCCACTGGTCACCTTCTTCTCTTTGTTTTCTCAGCTTTTCTCTAGGGAGCTAGGTCTTTGCACCATGTGTTTAACTAATTCTCTTGGTGTTTACATCGAGGCCTTGATGCCCCGAGTTGTCGTATGGCAAGGACAGAAGAACTCACCTGTGGTAAAGATCACTTCTCTGGTGACAAGCCTTTGCTCAATGATGGTGAACTGGGGCAGCTCGAGGACCTCCATCCCTGTCACAGCTGAATTATTTCCTTGCCAAAAGAACACGATGTCATCAACGGTGTAGCCATCTGGAGAAAAGCAGAGCAGAGAAATTCAGCAAAGTCTGCAGAGTATTTCAGAGAATAGCCAGAGGATGCAGGAGCCACAGGCTCACAGGCCACGAGTTAGCATCATACTTGCCTACCATGATTTATATTAGTGCTACTAGGATTTACTATCTGTCACAAATGTAAACATAAATCCTAATTCCCCTGCAAAAAGAAAGCATTTTTCTCTCCTCCTGTAGAAGCTGTTGCAGCCAGCTGTCATACTTTCCAGGGATGACATCTGGGAAAGCTTAGCCTTACTTGTCTTGGGAAGCTGTCTTTCCAAGTCACCTCCACACAAAAATACAAAAACAAACGCAGAGGGCAAACTCAGTCCGCTAAACTTTCTCCAGCCCTAGGAATTGCACCTTCCGCTTCCTAAATGACGAGGGGGGGGAGGGGGGAGAGAAAACCACGGCTTTTCCCACTCAAATGTCTCCGAAGATGAGAAAGGTTTGGAAACTCTGATGAATGAAAAAGGAACATCCAAGTACAAGAGTTCCTTCCCACTCCTGCAAACGGGTGTCTATGGGCGTGCAAGGGGCTGCCTTCTGTGCCTTCCCAGCATGCGCGCTCACACCCTAACCGGGCGAAGGGCGAGTTCCTCGGGGGCAAAGAATCTGGGGCCCCGGGATGCGCAGGAGCCTCGCGCACGCCCGCTCCGCCGAAGCTTCAGGTAGTTCCCGGAAGGTTGAGGGGTGGGACCGGTCCGGACACCCATAACCGGTCCCCTTTGCCCAGATGGCAGCTGGCCACCATGGTCCCCCCCCACGCCTTTTGTTCTCCGGCAAGCAGCAGAAGCCTCCCACCCAATTAAAGGAGGTTATTAAGATGAGGGGGAGGATATTCTGTGCCACCGGACAAGTGTGCACTACCTACACTCTGAAGACCACCCAGAGCCTCAGTTTTGCAATAACATCTCCCCATACACACTCAAAGGTGGTTGGTTTTGAATCCGTGGGGGAAACCCATTTAAAAAATGTGGTTGTGGAACATCATTGACAGATGTCCACAGCAGAACCCCACTTAGTCCTACTCAGAGGGAAAGGAGACAAAATAGCATTCTGCAAGCAAAGCAGGAGGAGATTTCCTCAGTGGCAGAGTAAATGTCAAAGGCAGGCAGGCAAAGAAGGGTCCATGCTCTCCCTCCCTCCCCCACCCACCCAACCTCACCCCATGTTCCTCTTCAAACTCACTGAGGGAGCCCGTTCCAGGCCAAACAGGCTGGTACTCACAGCTCTCAATTTCCAAAGTGCAATTTTGCTGGTCAAGGGGGTATCTCCTTAAGTCCATCATGCAAGCAGCCGTGGTAGTGATTCTGGGGGGGAGGGAGAGAAGGAAAGAAGGAAGGGAGAGTTAACATGGTGGGTTGCTGTCCCTATGACAACCAAAAAGAGAGTGTAGGGTAGGTGTGTACATGAGGTGGGGAATGACAGGAAGAGACCGGCTGTGCTACACAGCATCAACTGCACAGTTTTAAGTCATTTGTGACTCACTGCAGCCAGCCCGGCAGCTCTACCAAAACAAGCTAGGAGGGTCAGAAAGAAAATGTAAGAAGAAAATCAGTAAGTGAACAAGAGACAGTCATGTTTGTTACAATGCAGGCAAAGCTCAGGAATAAATCTAGGCATAAGTTGTTTTTTAAAATGCAAACACCTACATCTGAACTTTTCATAAAGGATCAGTTGGTCTGAAGCAAAACTAAGTTGCAAATGGAATATGGAAACCAAATCTAATCAAGCATTTTGATTGCCCAGACATGATTTCTGTAAATCAGTGGTTCTCAACCTGTGGGTCGGGACCCCATTTGGGGTCAAACGACCATTTCACGGGGGTCGCCAAACAACGCAGTCCGCCATTTTTTCCCCCTTTTCCTTAGCTGTGCTACTCCCTTTTATTCTATTGGCTTTTGAAAGCCAATAGAATAGACTCTCTTGAATAGAGTCTAATTCTATTGGCTTTCAAAAGCCAATAGGAATTGTCCAGGCTGTCTCTGCCCTGCTGAGCCCGCCAAAAGTCCCATTCTGCAAACGGTGCTGCACCAGTTGAGTAGTCCTCGACTTACGACCGGTTGAGTAGTCCTCGACTTACGACTGGTTGGGGGTCGCGGCATTAAAAAGATTGAGAACTGCTGCTGTAAATGTACTGCAATCCAACCACAGCGCTAAATCCCTCAAATCATCCACCCCCAAATTACATAAACAAGTTATACAATTGCATTTGACTACCACAAAATGTCAGCTGCAGATCCATAAATATCAATAACCAGTTCAAGAACACCAATTTCAGACCATAAAAGTCATCCTTTCCAGAGCTTTGTAGGGCAACCTGGAGTCAGTATGAGACACCCTTGTGATGCCTATTGTGCCCTGCAAAGCTGCCGAGAGGATGGGATGTGGTTGTGTCATGAATTCAGTCTAAAGAAGGAGCACAATCTCAGGAGAAGAGGAACCCTGAACAATGGAAAAGCAAAAATTTTGATACAAAGCAAGAAATCCCAGAAGTCTGATTGGCTGGCCAGTTTGGGGAAGCTAGGCAGGCCTTTGTCCTTGTGCCTGGAGTGAGTTTTAGCAAGGCAGCAGAACTGGGAAAGACCATCATGGAGGAGGTAGAAGTTGAGGTCATCAGCTGATGGAGGATGGTGCCTTGGGGTTACTTTGGTGCAAGTCTCTTCTCAGGGCTGTGCTGTGAGGTGAGAAGGTTTTTGGATGGCACCACCTTCTTAGTTATTCTTCTCCTGTCTGCAAGAGCTGTGCCACAATGCTGAGAACTGACTACTCTGGGAAGTCTAAGCAATTTGGTCCCACCTGCTTCATTGTGGCAATGGAGACAGAACTGGTACTTTGGTATGGTGCTAAAGAAACCATTTCTGGTTTTCTTTTAGAAAAAATGTCCTCCCTCCCTTTTATTTTTTGCCTTCATCCTTTCCAACCAGATTCTTGTAGTGACTAAGAGATGGTGGTGGCTTTACCTGGCTGAATGATGTTCCTTTGAAAACTGATCAGAAGAATTCCTTCTTGCTGATATAGCTGGGCCTGTCAGGAAACCTTGGACCATATTGTTTCTGCCCCAGAGTTTAAAAACACCTGGCACATACTTCATAGAGAAAATTCCCACAAATTATCAGGTGAGTGCACAAAGGTGCATGTGTTCATTGAACAGATCTGTAGTGAAATTATGTGATCTTGAGAGCTGTGCAGTGGGTTCTTCGGTATTATTATCATCGCCAGAGCAGTTTTAAATTTCTATAAATTGCTGCCAGCTGAGATCATGCATAGCTTTAATGGGCACTTTAATTCATGTTATCCAACAAAGCATTGGAGCATCTGCCTCCAACCTGAACTGATGTCGCCTAGGTAGAATCAGAGTTGTTCAGGCTAAATCCAGACAAAACAAAGCTGGTGCTGTTAAAGATGGATGACAAATGATGATGATTCAGAATAATCCTTCTGTTGCATTAAGTTAAAGCCCTGTGTGAGATCTGTGTGCTATGTCTGACCCTAAAGCAGGATTCTCAGCAGCCCCCCCCCCCCGCAAATGTCTCTGAATGGGCACAGTTCAGAGGCTGAGCTTAAGGCACTCCTCAAGCACATGTCCTCTATTTAAAGGGAGCGCTTACTTTTCCAGGAACATGGATCGAGAAAGAAGACAATGAGGTGACTGTAACCAGCAGGGGAATGTAGACCATGACGATGTAAAGGGAAAATCAGGAAGATGGAGGGAGGGAGATAACCAACAGTGACCTGATAATTTGATCTGTCTGTAGTGGGAAGCCTTGAGGGTGCCTCTGCTGCTGTCTCATGCCCTATAAATAGATGCAAAGGAATGGAGAACTTAGGAAAAGCATACCCTCAGGTAGATCGGGACCATTTTGCCAAAGACTGGGGGGGGGGGTGTCTGTTCAGCATATGGCTGTCTAGTAGCTGGGAGCATTTTCTCCTGGGAGGGGCTAAGGAAAGGCTAACTGCAGCTCCCAGGAATGGGCTGGCTGCCAGTGGCCAGTTGGCAACTCCCTGAGGCAGCAGCTGGACTTAGAGCATCTCTTCCAGGGAGGACCAGCCCTTCTTCACAAGAGTCACGAATTGGTTGATGCTCTATGTGGAGACGGAGGAACAGAACCTGCGCGTCTTCCTTGGAATTCAAGAGAGCAGCTCTTGGGTCTCTGAGAGCGATAGAGGAGCAACATTTAGAGAACTACCAATTTCTAATTTTTTATGGTTGGTGAGATTACTCTTGCTATGATGGATTCAGAGGGTTTTCACCTGAAACAGGGTATTAAATGTGCTCAGTCTGGGGTCACACAACCCTCCAAATTACAGTTCAGGTCCTTGTCCTCTGGGCCAGCCAAGGCCAAACAAGCAGCAAACAATAGGAAGATTCTTGTGTTTGTCCTGAATTCAGGTTAAGAGGAAATGGCTTAAAAATGTATACAATATTATAAAAAGTACTCAAGCAGGAGGGATAACAAACATAACTACTCAAAAGAAGGTAATGCCATTAAACCATTAAATGTTTCCCTATTTAAATGCACATCTTTTGGAAAGGAAAGCAAAGTCTCCATGTGAACCTTGCCAAAAAAAGACCCTGTTTCTAAACTGCTGCTACACGCAAACTCTCCTTGCCCTGAATTCAGGGACCATGGGAATTAAGCCTTGACCTCCTGCTGTGTGATATCCTTTCAGGCCTGCAAAGACAGCTATTGCCGGTCCCTTGGGGGACACTCTTGTGGGCCACTTTCTTTTCTCTGAATATAGTTCCTGATTCCCTGGTAATCCCATTCATTTCAGTTTCTCTTCCTCTTTCTTAAAGTATGATGCCAAGAATTGGACACAGAGTATTTGAGGTAGGAACTGACAAGTGCAGAATGTAGCAGAACTACAATCTTGCCTGATATGGGAAGCTATAGTTTGTTTGTTTATTTATATTTCACATTTCTTAACTGCCATCTCCCTCAGGGAGGGGTTCTGGAAGATGTACGATTTAATTAATAAAATTAAGCATTAAAACAGAATAATTTAAAAATTAAAAAATATAAAATATTATAAAATTACAAAAGATGGAGGGTAGGAGTTGTTAATATAGGCTGTGGGGGAAGGTGTTTTCCATAGGGCCAACCAGTCCCATGGCTGTGTGGGCCCTGCATCCTTTGTGGAAGGCCAAGAGAGTGGGGGCTTTCCTCACCTCTGGGTGGCAGAAGTGTAAATTCTTTGATTGATGGGGTCTGTAGCCTGCCTGAACTAGTGGGATGGGCTAATATGCTGCGGTGAAGCCGGTTCCACAGGCAGCCTGACTCAATGCCAGGTAGAGCTTTATAGGTAATAATCAATACCTTGAACTGGACCCAGAAGCAAACTGGCATCCAATGCAGTTCGCTGAGCAGGTATTGTACATGCCCTTCTTTGGGCACCCAGTATGGCTCACACAGCTGCATTCTGCACCCAGTTCAAGCTTCTTTTCAAGGGTAGCTCCATGTAGAGCACGTTGCAGTAGTCCAGTCGGGAGATGACTAGGTCATACGTATCGAGCAGATGCCCTCCCTGTCCAGGAAGGGGCATAACTGGCACACAAAGAGCAAAGGTACTCCTGGCCATGGCTGCCACCTGAACTTTGAGCAAGGACCCCCTCAGTACATACCAGATATGTCTGGGGTAGTGTGACCCCATCCAGGATCAAAGATGATAACCCCTGGACACAGAAGGGCCCACCCACAGCCACTCTGTCTTACTAGGGTTCAGTTGAAGTCTGTTGTTCCCCATGCAGACCCCCCACAGCCTCCAGGCACCGCCAAAGGGCATTCACTGCATCACTCATTTCACCCAGAACGGAGATATACAGTTGTATATCAGCCCCAAATGATAGAGAATTTGACATTTTAGCAGCCTCGTCACTTGTTGCTGATTCATACGGAGTTTGTGATCCACTCTCGCTCTTTGATACTTTCCATGCATACTCTTATCCTGGCATAGCCATATATGCCCTCAAGTCTTCTTCCTAACATCCTGCTGGGATGCATATCCTCTCCTCAAGAAATATGAAACCCAAGTGGAAGTAGTTGATTACTTCTGCCTTTTCTTAGTTACCCTTGTATTTTTGTGATTTTAAGTGCTGTACTATACCACTTGTTTCCTTCATGGTTGGGTCAGATAACCACCTTTTTAAATTTTCAACTTTGCATGATCATATTGCCTCAGATTTTAGTACAGTCCAGGCTCATTGATAACTATCCACCACTATTATCCATAGTGACTTAGTCACCTCTAACAAATATCTTCCTCTAGCTTTGGATCAGGTGGACTCTACCCTCTCCTATGCCTCTGGTGACCATAGCATAGCTTCTAAAGAATTCTATGCTACAAAGGAATTCAATCCAAATTGAATACTTCTTATGGATTTGTTAGCCACACACCATTACAACTGCACTCAATTAACCTCCTTGTATGGAGACCACACATTCTTCTAAGCCAGGAAGGGGAAATGGAAAGGAATCCCTTAGCTTGGTCTAAGCCAAAACTTTGTCCAGGGCAGTTGAACTGCAATTGTCCTGTGCAAACTGAAATAACCATTTAGAGATCAATGTGTAACACACACATTTTGGCCACAAACTATTACAGCATTGCCACAAATACATTGATTATGAGAAAACCAAAATTTCTTATTTCTAGATTTTGACTTAAGATTGGAAGCCTTTTTGAAATGCTACTGAGGGTAACTTTGGAACCCATACAAATAATTCAAACCCAGATCATTTTTCTAAATTACTGGGAAAATATATTGATATTATTAAGTACAATTGCAATACAAACACACTACAGAAAAGCCAGCTTTCTCCTCATTTTACTAGAACATAAAGGGTAGAATCCAGACTGAATGCTTTGTTTTGAACTCACCTCAAGCCGTAAAGAACAGTCCCATCTGGGTGAAGCCGGATCATCCGATTCTTGACTGTTACCCCATGCAGGAATGACTTCTTGTCATTTAGGAAATAGGTGTCAGGGAGCCACAGTTGGTCAGCCACCCGATTATCCAGGGTGAGGTTTAGGGCTAGATCACTGTAGGCTAGACGCTTATCTCTCCAACTTTGCTGGAAATACATGGTGATGGTGTAGTCCTGGGAACACAAGTGGAGAAGCCATGGGCTAAATGTCAGAAGAATGGCCACCTGTCTTTTCTAGGCAGCAGCACAGAGAATGTCAGGGCATCTGATGGCAACTGAATTCTTTGAGAATGACATAGAACATAAAATAATACTGTAGGATTGGAAGGGAATTTGCAGGTCTTCCAGTCCAACCCCTTGCTTAAGCAGGAGACCCTATGCCATTCTGGACAAATGGTTGTCTGGTCTCTTCTTGAAAACCTCCAGTGATGGAGCACCCACAACTTCTGAAGGTAAACTATCCCACTGATTGTTTTACTGTGAAGAAAATTCTCTTTAATTCTAGGTTGGGTGTCTCTTTGTTGATCTGCCATCCATTGCTTCTTGTCCTGCCCTCAGGTGCTTTGAAAAATAGGTTGACCCCTTCTTCTCATGACAGCTCCTCAAGTACTGGAAGACTGCTATCATATCACCCCTAGTCCTTCTCTTCATTAGATTAGACATACCTGGTTCTCTCGCTTGTTCATTATATGGTTTAGCCTCCAGACCCCTGATCATCTTTGCTGCTCTTCTCTGTGCTCTTTCTAGGGCCTCAACATTGTTTTTGTATCTTAGTGGCCAAAACTGGATGCTGTATTCCAAATATGATCTCACCGTTGCAGTATAAACTGATACTGTCACTTCACAGGATCTTGAAACTATACCTCTATTGATGCAACCTAGGACTACATTGGCTTTTTTGGTGGCTGCTGTAGCATACTGCTGACTCATAGTTAAGTGGTTGTCCACTAGGACATCTAGAACCATCTCACAGTTGCTACTGTTGAGTCACCTGTGCATTTGGTTTCTCTTGCTTCTGTATAGGACCTTACTTTTCTTACCACTAAATTGCATTTTGTTGGATAGGGCCCGGTGTTTGAATTGTCAAGGCCCTTTTAATCTTGAGTCTATCTTCTAAAGTGCTGAAGAAGCTTCTTGGATGAGAAGCGAAATGTCTTCAAAGAAAAACAAGAAAGTCCAGTTGCCTCTTGAAAAATATCTTCCAAAGTGTTAGCTATTTTTCTAAAATGTTAGCTTGGTGTCATTTGCAAATTTGATGAGTTCCCCTTCTATCCCTTCATCTAGATTATTTATAAAGAAATTGAAGAGTAGTGGGCCCAAGACAGAACCTTGATCTACTGCATGCTTTTCTCCAGGTAGATGTAATTCTATTGAAGACTACCCATTGAGTGCAATTGGCCAGCCAGTTACAAATCCATCTGGTAGTGATGCTGCCTATCCCACATTCTTTTATTTTGCCAAGAAGTAGGCTATTTTATCCAATGCCTTATTGAAATCTAGGTAAACTATGTCTACAGCATTTCCCTGATCCATTAATTTAGTCACTTTGTCAAATAAGGAAATAAGGTTTGTCTGGCATGACTTGTTTTTTGATAAACCTAGGCTGGCTTCTAGCAATTGTTTTGCTTATTTCTAGATGCTCACAAATGCACTGCTTGATTATTTTTTCCAAACAAAACCAACATATTTTGGGCCTATTCAAAGATCTAGTTCCCCTGAGAAGTCTGTAATTCTGGAAAAAGCAGAAATAAACAACACAGCCGGGGGCAGGTGGATGGACTATAGAGCCAATGGGTGCATATTTGAAAAACTGAAGGGCCAGATTGGGGACTGATCATACTAGAAAAAAATCTATGTGGTTGCCAAGAGGTGACACCAACTTGATGGAACATAAGCGGACAAAACTGCCATTTTAAAAAAAAAAACAACCCAGTAAGTTTGATCTCTTGTCTGAGCAAAAGCAGCTGTGAGATTATTTATTGCCCTGATTAAGCAACTTGTATGAATACAGCCATTCTTTTTCGCTGTTCTGCCTCCCTGTCCGCGTCTGCCTTCCCTTTGCACTGCTTGCACTTAGTCCCTTGGGGGGGGGGGTGTCACCCAGATTCTGGCCTGCCCAAAGGCTCAGTTCCCTTCCTTGACAGAAATATGTCCCATTTCTTGGGATGATCTTCATTCCACATTTCAGTCGGAGGAGGAAGAGGAGACAGAATTGCCTTCATGTCCAACCATCTCTCTGCTCTTTTGGTTTACAAAGCTTTTGCTTTAAGACCTGCTTAGAGTGAAGAGAATAGTTTCCAAAAATGCAGCACTAGTAAAACTTAATTATTTCTGAAATTATGCTAATCAGAGGTATGAAAAAACGATTCTGTCTGAACGATGATAAGAAAGAAGTTATAGAGGTAGGAAGGCAGAGCTGTGAATGCTGGGAAGAACTGGAGAGCAGCCCACAAAAATGCCTGCCTGGCAGTTGCTGAGGGGGCGACCCAGCCCATCTGCAGGCCCCCGGGTGAGGGCCAAGCCTTCTGCATGGAAGGAAGCAGTGCTCCAAGAACGAAGGTGCCTAAGCCTGTCCTGGGGCCACCTACTAGCAAGAAGGGGCTGCACAATCTCATTAGATCCCTTTGTCCTGTTGCCTAGCAACAGCTCATTGCCTTGGAATCCCAAGTGCTCCCCTCCCCTCACCAAGCCTCCCCTTCCTCACACTTGGCAGGCAAAAACAAAAGAAGAGGAAGAAGGAAATCAGAAATGCATCTAGAGTATATTATTACAGCAGGGCTCCCTGGCTGCCTCTGGTCTCCTCTCAGAGTGAGACCAGCATCCTGATCTGTCTGCACGAGTGCACACACACACACACACACACACACACACACACCTTTGAAGACCTCTCTGTCTTTCAGACATGCTCTTTAGCACAACAAATGTCCCTGGGAAAGCAGTACAGCAGCAGCATGCGTGTACCCCTGGCTTATGTAAGAAAAAATACTTAAGGGGAGGCAGTAAGGAATTTTAACAACCCCCTGCTACTAAGTCTCAATGGGGCCTTCACCTTGCCAAGCACAGTAGAATGAGGAGGGTGCTGGACTAGAGCCAGGGAGAGCCAGGTCCAAGTTCCCCTGGGGGACTTTGGACCGGTCCTCCCTCCCATCCTGCCTCACAGAAGGGCTCTTGGGGATATAAGGGTGCACACTGTATAAATTGCCTAGAGCACTTGGAGAAAAGGTGGGAAATAAATCTGACTTTAAAAATAAGCAGGGGGTTCTACCTAACCCAATGGACACACCACGGTCTATTCCTACCTCCTCATCTCACTTGTGCCCAAGAACAGGCTCTCTGTCTCCAGAGATCATCCTGAGCAAGTACTGCAGGGCACAGGCAGCACCTTGAGTAGCTGGGCTCGGTGACACGTGTAATGGGCATTAGGAGTTTTGCAGCCCGGATATATTGAAAACACTATGAGACACAAAGAGCATACATGACCAGCAAGTTAGCTGTCTAGATGTGTTGTTTCAAAATGAGTTTGCAGCTTCTTGATCAGAGAGGGGAAGAGGGGTTCGGCTGAGTGGTGTTGAGGCTGAGGCTCCCTGGACACTCCCTCCTCTTCTTGGCCCTGGATGGCAGCCTTGGGGTTGGGGTTGGGGTTGGGGATGGACCGGCGAGAGTTCTGGCCACCAAAGCTCACAGGGTGCCTTGGTGCCAATCACTCCTGCTCAGTCCAATCGGCCTCATTGGGCGGCAGCGGAGGCTGTGGGGATGCAGGGGGAAGGCATGCCGGCTCCTTTGCCTTTTGTTCCTGAGTGAAACGCAGGGCAAAAATCTAACACAGGTAGTGCCCGACTTACAGTTGAGCCCAAAATTTCCATTGCTAAGTGAGACAATTGTTAAGTGAATTTTGCCCCCATTTTGTGACTTTTCTTGCCACAGTGAATTGCCAGAGTATTAAGTGAATCACTGCAGCTGGTGAGTTAGTCACACAGTCGTTAAGTGAATCTGGCTTCCCCGTTGACTTTGCTTGTCAGAAGGTTGCAAAAGGGGATCACGTGACTCCAGGACTCTGCGACCGTCATAAATATGAGGCAGTGGCTAAACGCTTCAATTTTGATCACGTGACCATGGGGAGGCTGCAATGGACATAAGTGCGAAAAATGGCCATAAGTCACTTTTATCAGTCCTGTTGTAACTTTCAATGGTCACTAGATGAAGTGTTGTAAGTTGAGGACTATTGTATAGAAATATTATGGGCCAGGAATTCAGCCATGAGACGAATAGATTCTTTGGCAAAATTAATCTGAATTTTCTTCTTTTTTGACCCTCTACTGCAAGAAAACTCTGCTGAAGCAATACTTGGAGATTAATTAATCATATGATCGGAAGCATGCAGTGATCCAAGCTAGCCTGTCTCCATAGCAACTCAGCCTGACTGTCACCCTGTGAGGAGGCTCCATAAAGCCCCAGCCTCATAGTGCACTACTGTACCTGGTGGCCCCCCATCCATCACTCAGCAATAACCACATCCTGAAACAATTTGACATAGCTTTTTACTGAGGTGCTAGGATTGTATAAGTTTAATATATATTAACTATATTGTATATTTTATATGTAGCTCGAGGCGATTCCTCTTCACTCAAGCCAGAAGTTGGACACCCATGATACGTAGCATATCCAAGGAAGCCACTTTCTCAAGGTATATTTAGACTATTGATTTTGTTGCCATAGGAAATGACAGAGACAACCAGCATGAAATATTATAGAAGAGAAGCAAAAGTGTTCTTAGAGAAGAGATTCTTATGAGCTCCTCTCCTTGCGCCTCCTTCTTAGCCTCCATTTGAGGCTACCTGGCATCTAAGGCAAAAGCCAAGCCCAGAATGCCAAGAACAGGGATTAACCTCTCCTGAATCTTCTGTAGGGTGTCTCCACGTGGAAAGGCCCCCTTACAAAGCAAATGTAATTTAGCTTCCTGCTAAATTTGGAAGCAGGATTTTAAGAACTACCATATGCTCATTTTAGGCTAATATCACAACTTTTCCATTGAGGAGGCTATATTGTGACATCACAACTCCATCCTTTTGTATTTGCATCAAGACATCACACACAGCTAAGTCAAGATAGTGTCTGTATCACAACACACATTTGTGTCAAAAAAGCCAACATAGTCTTAGGCTGCATCAACAGAGGGCTAGTACCGCTTTATGCCGCTTTAGTCACACCCTGCTTGGAAGGCTGCATCTAGTTTTAGTCACCGCCAGTGCTTTTTTTGTAAAAAAAAAAAAAAAAAAAAAAAGTGCCGGAACTCACACACGTCATACAACCCGCCTTGCCTACCCTACAAGGGTCCATCCAAAAATGGTGCCGGAACTCCATTCTGGGTGTTCTATGACAAAAAAAGCCCTGGTCATCGCTATACAAAAAGATGCTGAGACTCTAGAAGGAGTACAGAGAAGAGCTATATTCATGATTAGGGGGCTGGAAGCTAAATCATACAAGGAACGATTGCAGGAACTATGTATGTCTAGGCTAATAAAGAAAAGGACTGGGGGGTGTGTGACATGATAGCGGTCTTCCAATATTTGAAGGGCTGTCACAGAAAAGAGGGGCTGAACCTATTCTCCAAAGCACTTGAGGGCAGGACAAGAAGTAATTGATAGAGGGAGAGATCCAGCCTAGAACCATTTAGAGAAACATGTGAAGCTTTCCACCAACTTTATGGGATGGAGTTTTCACATCTATTCTAGCGCCCCCCCCCCCCCGATGGTAGATTCTAACAAGTCTTGTCACTGAACTCAGTGCAGAATCTTTTCAAAAGAGCAAAAAACAGTGGGGTAAAGGGGGAGGCTGCAAGTAGCTGCAGGTGGTATTCCATTGGTTGTCAATACAATACAAGATCATTTATTAACTGAAGACAGATTTTTCTACCGTATTTCAAAAGTCTTTTCCTGTCTGATATTTGCCATCAGAATAAAATAGAATTTGCTGCAAATAATTCTCAGGGCAAAAGCATGACATTAAATAATATATTTATATTGTATACGTATACAATATCACACTGTATAGAATATCACATGTTTGAATGTGTGCTCATGCATTCCCCATGCTCTGGTATACCTCACTTCTAGCTAAACACCATTTGCAAATGAGGACAGTGAGAACATTTAATGCCTCTCTGTTCAATTCAAATTGGGTCTGCTCAATTGGTTGCATAATATGAAATTCCCCAAAAGGATGATTTTGTTATTCTCATTCATACTCACCATATTCACTTCAGAAATCTGATCAATGCTCGAAATGTGGATGCTCATTCCGACTGTAACAGGGTTACCTGAAGCACAAGGAGGTAGGATTAGTCCCCATGCAAATTGAACTAATTTAGGTCTGTCATGGACAATCAACCCTGATTTTTCTTTATGGAATAAAACTTCAAGCTCTCATAAAATGGATAAAGTGAATTGGGTTCTTGATGGTCTTTGGGTTTGATTGTTTTCTTGCAGACATTCCATCACCAGGCCAGGCAACAAAAGCACTGCAAGCCTAAGCCTAGCATCCAAGAATCCAGCAGTTCACTACTGAGCTACATATATCTCTGATATGGACAAGTTTTGAAACTGACAATAAAGTGTTTGTGTCTAGTCTCTGCCAAATGCCACCAAAGCCTTGGTAAACCTCATGTCAAGATACAGGAGAAGGAAGCCTCTTTTATGAGAACCAACAGTTGACTAAAAAAGATTTAATTCCCCCCTCCAGATAGAAGAGAAGCCATGATTACAAGCAACAGTGAGGCTAATTGTTTCAGTTTTGACTGATTTTCCCAAGCATAAATACTATGAAAAATATAAAGCTCCAGAATAAAAGGCCTTAACAAAGTCCCCTCTGAAAGAACATGAAATTGCTTTTCTTTCTAAATCATAGAAGAAAAGAGGATGCTGCCCTTTGCCCCATTAATTGGTCTCCTGTAATCAGAGTTCATTCATGAAAAAAATAAAGAGCAATGGCATTTCACTTAAAAGAACACATGATGCTAAATTGCTCTGAATGTCCCTTCTGCATAAGCAACTGCTTGGTGGGACCTCTGGCCAGACTATTCACTTTCTCAGGAGCTCTTTTACCTTCAGCACCTTCCTCTGCAGTTGGGGATGACAACATCCAGCCAATCTGACAGGCCTGGTGAAAGAAAATTAAAGCAAAACACTATGAATGTCAGGAAGGTGACAAGTGGTGATCCTTGATCAAAGGTTAGGGTTAGGTGAGAAAGAATTTAAACAACTACAAGAGTTGAGGAATCAGAATCTTGGTTAGCAGCTCCCACAATACATGTCTTTGTTGATTCTACAGGACCCCTTGCTTATTCTTTTGGAACAATTTCAGAACTGGGGAGTACTCTAACACTGGAGGCTCTTAGGAAGAGATTGGACAGCTGTTTATCCAAAACCATAGAGGGTCTTGCATGGGCAATCTGCTCCTCTTTTATTCTATTAACGCTTAGTGCCTTGGATGAGTTTAATTATGGAGTTTCTCCAGATCATTGGAATTAGGGAAGGAGTTAATTTTCCTCTTATTTTACTGGTTGTTTCCAGAAGATGATGCTGAGCAATTAACAGTTATCTCTCCATGGCATGAAATTTTTCAGGCAGAGATTCAACAGGTTGTGGGAGACCTTACAGGGATTATGGCTGAACTGTCTTCACTGTATCCAGCTTCTCCTCTCCATCCAGTCACCTTGACTCTACCCTGAATAAAGGGATTACAGGATCACAAGAAGGGAGTTTATGTCTTGAGCTAGTGCCTGAGCCCAGTAATTAATTGGGTGATACTGGGAAAATTGAAACAAAGTCCACACAAGACAGAAATAGTTGGTAGAAGGCCCAAATATTCATCTGAATAGTGTTCAGCCTGTCTCAGGTGGTCTTGATGGTGAGGAAAACTTCTATTATCTTCTACCTAGAGCAGGGGTGTCAAACTGCCGGCCCACGGGCCGGATGCGTCATCCAGAAGCCGTGCCCACCCCATTGCCGGCAATGGCAAAACCATCCCGATACATTGCACAATGTCACATGACGTCAAGAGTTTGACATGTCTGACCTAGAGCTTTCTTGGCAGAGATCAGAGAATCTCTCAGTCGAAATGCTGCAGGGTGTGACTCCCCCTGACAACAGTTCACCCACTTCAGTTAGCCTGGAACAGAGCTGGAGGCTATAGCTTGTATAGGTTCTCCTGCTTGAGCAGGGGGCTGGACTAGAAGACCTCCAAGGTCCCTTCCAGCTCTATTCTATTCACATAGCTATCGCTTGGAACTGTGTCATGTCAAGATTCTTCTTGGGTGCCCATTCGTTTCTTGGCCTAATTCCTGGCCCAGTTTGAGCTGGTTTTTGAAGACTGGAACAATTTGGGACCAGAGCTTTTTCTTTATGTATCTGCTTGGGTTCTTCCATTACTGTTAGCTACTCTCCTCCAGGTGAGGAGAGAGTCCCTTTTTAGGAACGGAGTGCAGGGAAGCCCATTTGCTGCTTGTATTGGTGCCTGGAAAGATTTGCCTCTTCTCTAACACATTTTACTTTGGAATCAGTTTGCTTTGAAAATCCTGCTCTGCTCTTGGAAGGTTTGCATATATATCTTCAGTGTTATTACTAATTGTATTTTGTACATTTTATTGTTTTATGGTTTCACAAATATTTTAATAACTTTATAATTTGAACAGAGAACTTTGGTTAATATGTGTCATGGAATGTGAGTTTGATTCAGAAAAGTATCAGGACTATGTCAAGCCATTATCACAAATACATTTAAGTCCTGAAAGAAACTCAAAACAATTCCACTTGTTGTATAACGTATAGGCTGAAGTTTTAACAGGCTTTCAAGACTGTTACAAGAAGACCTTAACTGCAATATAGCATATTTCAAGACACCTAGAAGCCCATTTCTTTATCTTGCCTTCCTAAAAGGGCTGACAAGAGATAGACTAGAAGCAAGGAACATAGAAATGTGTGTAGAGTGCTGAGACATGGTTAGAAGCCCATGCAGACATTCATAGTTTTCAGAGTGGCATATTTCCTTTTGGCAGACAGACTCCCCGCACCCAACTGAAAGCCAAATGCATGACTTGGATTGGGAAAAGTTGTGGCTCCCTGTTCTGAGAATGCTCCATGGATTTGTTTTGTCTGAAATTAGTCAGACAGAAACAGAAAGGTTAGTTCTTATAAGTAAACTACATCAGCCTCTGGTTCTGATACTGGATGCTTAGCAAAGGAAGCTCTGCCAGGAACTGATAGTCTGCATAAGTCTTCTAATGGTGATGGGGACCCTATATACCAGTGGTTCTCAACCTGTGGGTCGGGACCCCATTTGGGGTCGAACGACCATTTCACGGGGGTCGCCAAACAACGCAGTCCGCCATTTTTTCCCCTTTTCCTTAGCTTTGCTACTCCCTTTTATTCTATTGGCTTTTGAAAGCCAATAGAATAGACTCTCTTGAATAGAGTCTAATTCTATTGGCTTTCAAAAGCCAATAGGAATTGTCCAGGCTGTCTCTGCCCTGCTGAGCCCGCCAAAAGTACCATTCTGCAAACGGTGCTGCACCAGTTGAGTAGTCCTCGACTTACGACCGGTTGAGTAGTCCTCGACTTACAACCGGTTGGGGGTCGCGGCATTAAAAAGGTTGAGAACCACTGCTATATACAGTCCTCATATTTCACACCTGGAAATAGGAATCCCTCTATAGAGAACAAGATGTTTTCTTCAGGATAATCACAGCTGTCTTCATTCTCCCCTTGCATATCATCACACATGACTGGAGATTTGCTTGGCCAGCAGAGGTGGCTGAATTTGCAACTGCCCCCCCCCCCAGATAGCATCTGTTATTTTAGTTAAAGATCTACTTGAAAAACATCATATTCCTATAGTCGCTGATCAGTGGTTCCAAATGCACCTTAACAGCAGCAGACTGGAATATCAGTAGGCTGCAAAGGCCTTCTAACGTCCATGCAGTAAGGACAAGAAGTGTCTACTCTAAACACTAGAAAGTCTGGGCAGATAAATGAGGTTTGTAACAGACAACTCTAGGGGTACTCCTACTGTCCACAGGTCTAATAGTTGCTGTCAATCCTGCCCTCAAATGTTCTATATGGCTCCAGGTGAGTTGATGGCAGCGTAAGAAGAAGCATGAGGTTGCCGAGAGAAGAAATCAACAGCATGAATAAAGATGGTGGCAAGGATTGGTTAGTTTAGCTTAGATGTAAGAGAAGAAATCCATGATAGAACACAGAATGTTAGAACGGAGGAGGATCTGAATGAAAGTGGGCAAGAAGGACCCTGAGCACTGCAGTACAGCACGGAAGCATGTGGTAAGGGTGGGGGTTTGTGATGAACAGAAGACAGGAGTGGGAGGGGGTGATTGGAAGAAATGAGGGAAGTCAAGAGGGTGAAGTTGGATCAAGAGGGGACGGCTAGTGGAAACATGCAGGAGGGAAGCAAATTACCAGGTTTTATTTCCAGTTGATTTTTGGAAATATAATAGTAGGGGTCACTCAGGAAGCAGACCGACCTAATTAGGATTATGATGCCTGGGTTAGGGATTGAGCAGCAGGTCAGAAGTCTGTGTTAGAAGGATAAAAGGGCTGTTCTATTCTAGGATGAAGTGGGCTTCATCTGACTCTTCCATGCTTCTCTCAGGCCAGTTTTTACTTCTATATTTCAGAGGAAAAAATGTTGAGTTCTTAACTCATTTCACTTTGCTTTTTAAATATATTCTGCTGCACCATTCCATTAGCCCCATAGGTTGCATACTTGATCAATTAAAAGCCTTTGTTCGGCACCTCCTTATTACAGTTGCCCAGGGCTGCTGAGTGCTTGCAGCAGAGAGAACTCAGAGAAGACCCTCCTGTCTTAGGTCATCCAGTGATGTACTGCTAACTTTCAGAAAACTTTGGGCACTGGCTGAAAAAATTCCTCTGTCATTTTTCTGGCTGAATCTGCAATTACTGAAGATTAGGCTCAGTAACATACACTACACAATAAATTCAAAGGGTCAACATAAACACTTCATTTCATATATCATTACCATTAATATGTTATGGAAATAATACAACAATCAGTTGTTTCATGTTCATCAGAGGAACCCTTTTGGAGATTGATTTATTAACTACATTTATATAGCTGCCCATCTCTCAGACATGACTCTGGTGGTATGCAATAAATCAATTAGGTTAAAAAATAGAAAACAGTACAGGATAACACAACAATTTAAACAATTTAAAATGTGTTAATGAATATTTGCAGAAAGTATAGCTCATTTCTCTTGGCACAATTCTAATGCCTTCATAAAAAAAGACCTGCCCTTTAGCTGGGATGTTTCCATGCCCTATAAGTCAAGACCAGTCCGGCTTCATCCCCTCCACCCCTTCAAGGAGGAAGGTGTGAGCCCTTTGTACAGTTCAAACAGGACCCAGCACGGGACTGGAACCAAAACCAGTCTCTCCCAGCCCACAACCATCTATCCCACCAGAATAGGCAAAGAGGTCTGACAACGCTCCTCCATATGGTTGCACACCTAGCAAGAGAGGCTAGACAGATCAACCTTGAGGATCATGAACTGGATGAGTAAGGCTAAAAGAACCACTCCCTTCTGAAGCAGCCTCGAATCCCAATAGGATGACCCCATAAAGGAAATCTTACCCTATTCCAGTCTACAGCCATCTTTGTTCATTAGTATTTTATAGCTTCTTCATAGCATTATTCAACCATCACGGGAGAGTTATAAAGCCTGTCCACACTACTCTCTGCCACAGCTATGGAAGGCTAACTCTACACATGAACAGGAGGGGTCCCTGACTTACACCAAAGAACTTCATATTGGTAGCCGCCTTAACTTGGATAAGTGATTGGCTTAACTTAACAAATAAGGATATTCTTTCTCTTGAATGGTGGGATTTAATGTATGGTTGGCATGCATATTTAATTTTTAATAAGAAAGTGGACCGGGCTTTCAAATCACACATTTTGAGGAATGCCTTACTTCGAGTTTGGAAAAAGTATTATCATAGGTTAAATTATAAAATACCTATCTGGGGGATTCCTAGACATGCAATCGAGGGAATTTCTAAGGGGATGAATTTTGACAAAATTTTGTATAAAGAATTATTAATTTGGTCAGGTTTGGACTGGCATTTAAAATCCCTAGATGTATTAAGGCAAGAAAATATTCTACAGTCATGGTTTCAATACCTACAAATAGTGGATAGGTGGACTGTAGATAAGAAAGAGGGAATAACATTAGAAGATGAAAATTTGGTTATTCAGATTAAAGATCAGAGTCAGGCCCATATAGAAAGAATTTATAATGCTTTAATAGAATTAGACTTGGAAACAGAATTGGTCAAAGACTGTATGATTAAATGGGCTCAGAATATCCAGGAACCAATCCCATTGGACTTATGGGAGATAATTTGGATCAGAAATGTTAAATTTACACAAGCTCAAAATTTGAGGGAAAATTTTTATAAAATGTTTTATAGATGGCATTTAGATCCTAAAAAATTATCTTGTATGTATTCTAATTTACAACCCAAATGTTGGAGATGTCGTAATATGGATGCGACATATTTTCACGTTTGGTGAAGCTCTCATTGTTGCTATAGGATTCAAGGAATCCATTGGGAACAAACCTTCTGATATTGAAGAAGATCCATGATATGATCTACACATTCCTGTGAAATGCTATGTTTGACAGCAATTTCCCATTGATAATCTGTTGGTTGTTCCTAGTTGATTCATTTGACTCTCATGTGGAACTCAGAGGTTGCTGCCATAGGTCATCTACAGCACTTCATTTCTGACCACACAAATTGGCTCCTCCCAGTTCACTGTTTTGTAATTCTTAATACTTTTTTTTTAGCCAAGCAACGCACAGTACTCACATCCACACACATCATCACTATAAACAAGCAGCATTCAGCAGTGAATCTCAATTGAAGAGACTCCTTCAACAGTCAAAAATGTCAGGTACATTGACATTTCACAAATAACAGCAACACGATTTTTCTTCACAGTAATTTCTCACCAACTGAAGTGAAAGAACAAATGCTAACACACACACACACAGAGAGAGAGAGAGAGAGAGAGAGAGAGAGAGAGAGAGAGAGAGAGAGAGAGAGAGAAGAGTTTCTTAGAAGCCGCCACTAGCATCTGGTGGTGAATTATATAATGGTGGAGGCATTACTTTGTAGCCCTTGTATTTATTCTCACCATGTTATATTTCTATCATGGATTGTTTATAGCACATTCAGTAATGTAACTTTAATTTCATTTTCATGCAAAATATTCTATAATTCAATTTTTGCTTTTGATTTCAATTTTTTATTAGTTTATCAAAGTATAAAATAGAAAAATACAAAGAAAAAAGAAAATAAAGGGAAAATATAGAAGTAGAAGGAAAAAAGGAGAAAGTGTAGGGTAAAATGGAAAAGAAAGAGAAAGGCATTGACCTCCTACTTTTTTTGGCGCAATAGAATAAGGTAATAGCATACAATTTCAACTTTTTGCTTTTAGTTCATAATATATATTAGCCATTGTGGTAGTAGCAATCTATCTAATCAACAAAAACCAAAATCAAACCTATCCAATCAGCAAAACCCTAAATCAAAGTTTCATTTTTTCCATTTCAAGCACTAAGTCCAAAAGTAGTTTCCAAGTATTGCTTTCTTTAATCAGAGCAGTCAATTTAGCCATCTCTGCTAATTCCATCAACTTCTGCAGCCATTCGTCCATTGTGGAAATCAAA